GAAACTCTCTTATTTGAAGTAAAGTTTTTCATGTTTTTCGTCGTTTTCATTAGACCTCTGAGGCTACGTTGTGCACACACGGAACAGTGCAACCTATGAGCGGATAATTTACGAATCGAGTCTGAACTACAGGATCTTAGTAGCCTGACGGCAGTTCTGTACTTTGGCGTAAAACAGTCCGCAAGGTGAATTTTATCACAACTTGGGTTTCAAAGATTTGGCAATGTGCCAAACCATTGTAGTGGTCTTTGGGGTCCCACTTCTAGCCCCATTTTGTAGAAAATCCTTCTGGTCCAACAGCGGCCACTTGTCTTGCATCTGCATTACATATCATCACTCAAGTAAGCTTAATCAATCAGTCGTTAGCCCCAGGTGATAGCTAGAATTCCCCTTGTTGTACTAACATACACCTTAAATTGGTTTGCGGTAAGAGTTGAGTATACTAAAATCAACGCACGTGTTTTTAGTTTAAGTGCTAGCAGGGACAGAATAATATACAGACGTAGGAAAGGCTCCCAGTTGGTAAAGTGAGCGATCCATGTAAGGCAGTCCCGAAAGTACGAGGATGCAAATGAGGGCATAGGTTTTGTGAGTTTCTCGTGTTATTTGAATCTGAAAAGTTCTCTGACCGCTTGCAGAATGTAACCGACCTGGGTTCTGGTCATTTGTCTGTTAGATGTCTAAGGAGCACAGCTTCGTGGTAGTTCAAATTTGCCCTTGGGAGGGGGGCTGGATAGAGAAGGCTACGGTTGCATGCCTTCCAATACTAATAGTAAACTGAAAATTTGCCCACTTCGGTGTCCTGGTTTGTCATTGGCGAATGCGATGAGTACCTCACGACTCTACAGTGACGCGTGAGTTTTAAAGACTCTGAGGCGTGAATTACTTAGACGGGGAGAGGAAAAGAAGTCTAAGTTCAAGTGGATGACGGCAACTACGGCCGTTGACCTCTGAAAATTTGCATACGGCTCGAAAGTCAAAGCGGACTTCTAAAACATGCTGTCATCTGTATCCTAGAGTTGAATGTAGCAGTACCGGTTGGTAGGGTGGCTGACAGTCACTTCTACGATGGCCTAATAAACGCTTAAGATGTCAGTAGGAGAAAGTACTTTGATACAAACAATAACAGAAATGTGAGTAGATGCATTTCATCAAGTCAACAATTGTCTCCTTCAACCAACCCGTAGTGGACAAGTTCGTTGAGTTTCTCCCCAAGTCGGTTGTCCAGAGCTACAATGACGAGAACAAAAAAGGAAGATTAGGTTAGATAGCAGTAGCCTCCATAGCCGAACGATAATTGCAATTAAGACAGGCTTACTGCTGCATTTTCTGTCTGGATTTTTATCTACCTTCAATCAAACCGGTCGTCTTAATTGGCTGATGGATGCTGTACTTAGCGGTCTTCCTTCAGTGCACATCATGGTTATCAACTAACCTGATCTTCATAGGAAAGCTAACGCCCAATTGTTCAAGCACCCGATTTAATCAAGCTCAAATGTCGCTCGCGGGGCCACAGTGCGTATAAAAAGTGGATATTTCAGTTTGGAGTGAAGTACATACACTGGGAGAAAAAGATGTTTTGTTCCTAGGTCAGGTCGCGGGGGCGCTCGCGCGGCAAATAGTTTTTTTTCCTCAGAAAATCAACCTGAGTTTAAAGCGTTCGCATTCACCGGTCGTCCTTCCATTTTTGGGGGTGTTACAACTGGAAGCGGGGTGAAAGGCGGACTAAGTATCGATGTGTATCGAATGGTCTCGCGGTTCACCTGCCGATGGCAGGGCAAAGAGGCATGTCGTATAAAAGGATGTATGTTTTATACTGATTGAGTTCTAGGAAAGAGAACCGTTATATGAGGGTTATCGGTTTCTTTGTATCTCCTGCTTCAGGCAAGAGGGAGCGGAGGTGTCCATTGTGCTGTATTGCGTTTGGCGAAGGCCATAGCCCAGCAAACCAGTCTTTACAGAGTAAGCCGGAATAATCGAGGCAGAACAAACAACGCACATGCATAACACTGAATGAGCATTAATTAATATCCCGTCGCTATTTACATGTTTCTTACATCAAGAACTCAAATGTGTGGAGTAGGAATTCGCATTTAAGTTAATCGGGGTCTGACGCTACAGAACATCACTCTATCGACTGTGGTTTGAACTGCAGACATCAACAACGACGTTTAGTTAACTCAAAAACCGAAATCCTTGCAAGGGATGACAACTGCGGGAACTGCGAACTGCTCGAATCCTGGTATTCAGCCCCGTAGTCCACCAACAAGCGCAATGCCTTGCCGTTCTCATATTCCGTACAGAGACTTTGCCTGAGCAGGGGAAGTAGTTACATGGGTGGGACGGCCAGTAACAATTTCGATAACAACTAACCTGATTGTCCCGTAATTCTCACGCCAATATCCAACACCGATGGTGGAGTCGCGGAAATTGATGACTCGAGCGTGGACTGCCAAGCCAGCATCGTATCAATCACGACCCGCAACGATATTCACGAGAGCTGCCATTTTTAGTATGCTGTCGTTCGCGTGACCGCTACGGCTAATAAATACTGCGTAACTTGTGCTTTTATCATCCCCTTTGCTGCGGTTATATCCGAGGATGGGTTCAAGACAGAATCCGACGCGTCAAGCAAATAAACTTCCTGTTCGGGCAATCGCATCTTTTACTGTGCAGCTGCTTCCTGAAACTCGCATGTTCGCTTTTACCACCTCATTTAACTGTTTCAACTGGAAAAAAGGGATAAAGCGTTTTCGATGCTCATTGGGCGTAAGAAGTAGCTAAGTGTTGGACTGATAAGTGAAAGTTTGGTGAAGGATCAACGGACCAGAAAATAGAGTAAATGTAGCCGGAAAATCTAAACCGAATGCCCAAATTTGATCGACGCAAAGAGGTCCATTTATCATATATCGTTTTCCTCCTGCTGTTTATTTACGGTGGTGAAATTAAATAAGTGGTTTTCATTTTTAAAAAAAACTGCATACTGTTACTCAGAAGCTTGTGGGTTTTCCATTTTTCTACACTGAGTAACTGGAGAGACTAGTGAGTTGCAAAAACAACCCTTTTTTGTCGCAACCAGCAAATGTCCATGTAATGCCTAGTACACAGAAGTTTTCCCTGCGAACAATGTTGTTAGTAAACGCTGCCAGAGTCTAATCCAGGGGTCGGGAACGTATGGCTCGCGAGCCAGGTGTAGCTCCTTTGATGATTGCATCTGGCTCTCTCAGATAAAATTCGAATTAGAAACTTCAGATTTTGTTATTTTGTTTTTTCCAATGAATAAATCCAGAGGCTTATTATACTCACATTTAATTGAATTCAATCTAAACATATAAGGCATGGCTCTCACTGAAATATATTTCCAAATATTTGCTATCTTGGCTCTCTGAGTCAAAAAGGTTCCCGACCTCTGGTCTAATCTATCGCAAAAATACCATGAACGCAGGCAATATGATAACTTTGGTATATGACAGGTTTTTCCTCATTCTGAAAATCTCTGGCCAACAGTCGCACACAGTTAATAGACACCGTACTTTGAACGCGTATTTGAATGGATTTTTATCCGAATGTTACTGGAAAGGGGATTTGAATACTTTACTCTTAATATTCAGCACTCTGCTTACATTTATCCGTACGCTTTTTAGCCTGACAGCATTACAGATTAAATCAGTCTAGGCAATAAACCGCATCGGCTTTTTGATTGTACTTTTAATGTTATCATCTTTAAACAGCATTTTCATTTTACCGTCCGCTTAAATGTTGGGGCTCTTTAGCGATGAACTGTGTAAGGTAGCTGAACCAAACAGGGGATATTTCTGCATTTCGGGATTTTGTGACTTAAGCCACCTATCACAGGTTGTGTAGCCAACATAGAAATCAGACAAATAAGTGTGAGAGTGGCAGCTGAAGATCCGAGGGATTTCTGACTCGACCAATTCGCGATTGGGTTGCTTGTTAACTTGTACATACCTATGTATGCAAAAGTCTCATTCTTACCGTAAGACTACGGCAGGAAAAGTAGGCTGATGGACGAAGCTCAAGTGAAAGGGGGAAATAGTTTGGTCCGAGGGACAGAAAACGGAAAGACCCACCTTTCTTTATTCTTGAACGCATAATCGACCAGTTCACTAGAGCATACACCTCCCTGACGTGTTGCGGCACACCATCCGGGTACTTGATGTAACGACGAAGTTTGTGCCAGGTCTGTTGGTAGAATAGACGAACCTGATCTCGTGTGCGACCACCGGCCGCGGCGTTCAGATCCTGCAGTGGAAACGCCGGGGCACCAGGCAATGCTGAGGGCAACGATGATGGC